CTTGGCGACGACGGTGAGCTCCCCGATTGGGTGGAGCTGCTTAGGCAGAGAGTAGATATCTTTGCTCTTGACTATGATGCTATTTTCACTGCAATGGATGCATTGTCTACTAGTGCCGAGGGAGCCTGTCACCTGTGTGTGCCGCCTGATCGCAGTATCCAGTCTGCTGCTCCAGGTGCCGGTGAGGCTACCGCTCTAGGTGCTAGTGCGTTTGCTGCCCCTGGTCCTGGTGAGGCTACTGCTCTAGGTGCAGGTGTGTCTGCTGCTTCAGGTGCTTGTGCATCTGCGCCTTAAGGTACTGCGTCTATAGAGGCACTGCATACCTTCACACTCGACTCAGGTGCTTCCCGCTATTTCTTTCGCGATCGCACTGCCCTCGAGCAGCTCCCAAGGCCGGTTGCTGTCTTCCTGGCTGACCCCTCCGGGGGTCCGATCCTTGCGACCTCCACCACTACCCTCCCTTGTCCTGCTGTCCCGGCCGGCACACTGTCGGGCCTTTACCTCCCCTCGTTCTCTACGAACTTGGTGGCGGGTTCTGCGCTCCAGGACACGGGTGTTCACCAGTTCACCCCTGCCTACGAGCGTGTGACACACTGCACGTGTGCCCAGACGGGTCGTCACCTGGCTACCTTCACTCGGCAGCCGGGGTCGGACTTGTACACACTGACCACTGAGTCCCCTCAGGTAGCGGCGTATGCGTCTGCGTCAGGTCAGTTGTCCGCCCCCTGCTCGTGTGGCACCCTGTCGCACCGGACGGTTCTCTGGCACCACGGCCTTGGGCACCCTTTGATGCAGTGCCTTCGTGGCATGCACTCTCGCTTCCTTGTCTCTGGTCTCCCCAGGTCACTACCTCCCTTGCCACTGTCCCCTGCCCCTCCTTGCCTTCCTTGTGTCGAGGGGCGGCAGTGTGCCACTCCTCACTCCTTTGAGTTCCCCCCGACAGAGGCTCCTCTGCACACCCTTCACATGGATGTGTGGGGCCCAGCCCGCGTCCGTGGACAGGGCGGAGAGCGCTACTTCCTGCTGGTAGTTGACGACTACACGCGTTACACTACGGTCTTCCCCTTGCACACCAAGGGAGAGGTCCCTGCTGTCTTGATCCCTTGGATCCGCGCTACTCGTCTCCAGCTGGAGAGGCACTTTCGCACTGACCTTCCCGTCCTGCGTCTGCACTCTGACAGAGGTGGTGAGTTTTCCTCCGGCCTCTTGTAGACCTTCTGTCAAGGGGAGGGCATTGAGCAGACGTTCATGCTTCCGGCCTCTCCTCAGCAGAATGGGGTTGCTGAGCGCCGCATTGGCTCGGTCATGGAGGTTGCTCGTACCTCCTTGATCCATGCGGCTGCCCCCCATTTTCTGTGGCCGTTTGCGGTCCGGTACGCCGCGCATCAACTCAACCTCTGGCCCCGTGTCTCCGTTCCGGAGACCTCGCCGACACTGCGTTGGACGGGAGCGGTTGGCGATGCGTCTGTGTTTTGTGTCTGGGGATCTCGTGCCTTTGTTCCCGATACGTCCGCGGACAAGCTCTCCTCCCGTGCCGTTCGTTATGTCTTCCTGGGCTTTGTCCCCGACGCGCGTGGTTGGCAGTTTTACCACCCCACCTCGCGCCGTGTCTTCCCCTCTCAGGACGTCACGTTTGACGAGTCGGTCCCCTTTTACCGTCTCTTCCCCTACCGCACTGCCCTGCTCCCTCCTCCACCGCTCTTCCTCACGCCAGGTGCTGCTTCAGTAGACCCCCTGCCTCCCTAGGGTCCTGCTCCCTCAGGTGTTTCCCAGGTAGACCCGGTCGAGCCTGTCGAGGTAGCTGTCGACTCTGGTCCTGCGCGAGGTACTGAGCGTGCTGAGCCTGAGCGTGCTCAGCCTGGTGGTGCAAGGTCTGGGGGTACTGCGACTTGGGGTGCTGAGCCTGGGGGTGCGGAGACTGCGGGTGCTGAGCCTGGGGGTGCTGAGACTGGGGGTGGTGTCCCTTGGGGTGCTGAGTCTGGAGGTCCTGAGCCTAGGGGTGCTGCGCCTGGGGGCGTTCTCTCTTCCCATCAGCTGCGTGAATGGTACTCTTGGTACTGTCGCCGCCGCCATGGTGCTGTGGGAGCTGGAGGTGCTACTGGAGCTGGAGCTGAGGGCGCTGAGCCTACTCATCACAAAAACCCTATGCCAAGTTTGGACGAATTTTGATTTCGATTGTCTTAGCGTAAAAAAATCCGGGGCCAATTTGGACCGACGGTTGGAGCCATTTGATAGGAGCTCCAATACACATCTTGCAACAAGGTTTGGCTCGGTTCAAGTTCCAATTTGGCACGCGAGCTTTTCCGGATGACATTCGGAGCAATCCGTTTTGTTGCAAATTCGTGACCAAATTATTCGTAACTAAATTTTGTTTTTGTTCATTTTGGATATTGAGGATTTCAAAATTGCATTTATTATTGCGTTTTACAAGAACTATTATTCAGCATTCTAGCAACAAGCAGTCTTAGCACCAGGTCAAATAGCCTATGCACTGGCGGGTCTTGAAAGCGCCCGGTGGGCAAGGACGACATCTCCAAGTTCGCCGTCGTTGATGAGGAACTTGTTCGGAAAGAAGAACGCACCCATAGCCGGATCGTGGGGGATTCTCCACTCCACGATTGCAAAATGGATCATCTGTTTGACCTTTTCGCACCACTCCTGGTAGTCTGGCCTGTTCTGCTCCGGCTGGCTACTGATTCGCTTGCGACGCTTATCATGCCGAAGGGGCCATTCGATCTGCAATGTGGTGTAGGGTTGGGTGGATGGTTTATGCGGAGGGTAGGTTATGTGTAAATGAGGCAAGTGAAAGTGGTGATGCAGTCGTCACTATCTACGTAACTGCAAAGGCCTAATCGACCAGGGTTTTAGCTGAAGTACAAGCAAGGGGTTAAGGGGATGAGGCATGGGGGTACAAACACATATCTACATCCTTACCGAAAACAGGCCCCATGCCACCATGCGGCTCTTGAACTTGGTGAACACCGCCCCGCCCCTCTTGAAGGAGAGCTTGAACGCATAAGCAAACAAGGGGTTGCTGAAGGGTGTCCTGGTGGCCTTGTCAAAGTGCCAGTTGAGGGCCCACTGTTATGCTTTTTGGCAGGGAGGGTATGGGTTGGAAAGGGTTTTGTAGAGAAATCAAATGGGGGGATGAGAGTCAGGGTGAGCCACGTCGCACGGTGATATGTAGCTGCCAAGGGGCATTTGGTAGGGCATATTGTGTTTTCGAGTTGCACTGCACATACCATCTCTGTACTCGGCTAGGAGTTGATCGTCGTCGAACCAGGTCGTTGGGTGTAGCTCAGTGGGCAGGCTATCCACGAGATGGCTGTAATCGGCAAGGCCCATGCCGGTGTATGCTGCTGGCCTGAGGGTGGAGTTGATAGTTGACCTTGTTGAGGACAGCTGGTGGTTGAAGACTCCCATGGTTGACTTGTCATTGTGCAACCACAGCAGCTTCATTGCCTCGAGCCCTTCTGCAGACAAGTGGACAAAGAACGCTTCGAACACTTCCTCCGGTGCAGGGTAGTACTGTATTTTCTCCGGCGGGTTCAGAAACATGAGCTGAGAGCACACTAAGTAGGCTTTGTTCTGCGCATGGGTGTAAGGTATACAACACGACATGGAAGAGAGAAACCAGCAGTTATGAGGGTGGCCGCGTGACCATGGGATGGTGACTAGCAACACTGTTTGAACTTGCCACGTCACACCCTGCGCCATCCGACACGTCCACCAACAACCCGGCCCACTTGCCACGTCACACCCCCCTACCACAAGCCACGTCACCCCCCACCCACCTGACACGCCTCGCTTCGTCATGCGCAGTGGTCTCGTGTACCATTTCTAACCGCCACGTCATCCCCAACCCTCACCTTCCGCCACGTCACACCCACCTATATCCGCCACGTCATCCCCAACCCTCACCTTCCGCCACGTCACACCCTCCTTGTCCGCCACGTCCACCAACCAGCCCCACGTGCCACGTCACACACTCCTGCATCCGCCACGTCCACCAACAACCAGCCCCACGTGCCACGTCACACCCTCCCACCCCATGCCACGTCACCCCCCACCCACCTGACACGCGTCGCCTCGTCACGCGCCGCTCCTGTGTACCATTCCAAACCGCCACGTTAGCCCCAACCCTCACATTCTGCCACGTCACACCCTTTTGCATCCGCCAACAACCCGCCCTACTTGCCACGTCACACCCCCCACCAAGAGCCACGTCACCCCCCACCCACCTGAGACGCCTCGCTTCGTCATGCGCCGCTCACGTGTACCCTTTTTGGGTGCCACGTCATCCCCAACCCTCACCTTCCGCCACGTCACACCCATCTGCATCTGTCACGTCATCCCCCATCCTCACATTCCGCCATGTCACACCCTCCTGCATCCGCCACGTCCACCAACCAGCCCCACGTGCCACGTCACACCCTCCTTGTCCGCCACGTCCACCAACCAGCCCCACGTGCCACGTCACACCCTCCTGCATCCGCCACGTCCACCAACAACCAGCCCCATGTGCCACGTCACACCCTCCCACCCCATGCCACGTCACCCCCCACCCACCTGACACGCGTCGCCTCGTCACGCGCCGCTCCCGTGTACCATTCCAAACCGCCACGTCAGCCCGAACCCTCACATTCTGCCACGTCACACCCTTTTGCATCCGCTAACAACCCGCCCTACTTGCCACGTCACACCCCCCACCAAGAGCCAGGTCACCCCCCACCCACCTGAAACGCCTCGCGCTGTCATGCGGCACTCCCTTGCACCCTTTCACACCGCCACGTCATATCCCAACCCTCACCTTTTGCCACGTCACACCCAACCCGCATCCGCCACGTCCACCAACAACCCGCGCCACTTGCCACGTCACACCCACCCACCCCATGCCACGTCACCCCCCACCCACCTGATACGCGTCGCCTCGTCACGCGCCGCTCCCGTGTTCCCTTCGAAACCGCCACGTCAGCCCCAGCCCCGCCCTTATTGCCACGTCAACCCCAACCCTCCCCATGTGGCCCGCCACATACCGAGAATGGGTTTGTCTCGTGCAACACTAGCACTCGTGCCTTGTCCACGGCGCTCATCGGCGGCGGGGTACCAGGCAAGGCTGCCGACCCGCCGGCATAGCTGGCAGGTACTCCACGACGCAGGCCGAGCTGTGCAAACATGGCGTACATCTCAGACCGCAGCACCTGGAACTCCTCCCGTGTAACAAAATGCTCGTGCTCCGCACTTTCACCTAGGGCACCCATGAGCGGAGGAAAAGGGTGTGAAGAATCCCTCCTCTGGCCAAGGGGATCAACGTCTTCTGCAGCAGTCCCGTGTGCCCTCACACTATCACGCTGGCGGGAAAAGGGGAGCTCAGGGAAGGGATTGGCATAACTGCCTGCCTGATGCCCGCGCGAAGGATCGGCGAGAGGGGAGACTGCCCTGCCCCGGACAGGAGAAGCGTAAAGTTGCCGAAATTGGTACGAGGGTGAGGCGAGTGGGGACTGCGTGACGGGGGCGGGTGGAGGGGATTCGGATTCCTCTCCTCTTGGCGTGCCTGGTGCCGTCGCAGCGACTTTGCTCGGGCCGGCCCATGGCGTGTAGTACCTTGGTGCTCTCGAGGAGAGCGGTGTAACAGTCGCTCTTCCGGCAGCCTTCGTTAGATGCATTCGTTGCACGCTTACGGGCGGCCCAATGCCTGTAACGCGAGGGGCTGAGATGTAGAGGGAGCCGAAAAAAAAAAATAGAGTCGATCGGTTTCAAGGCGGGGCCAGACATGCATGCATATTCAGAAAGGTTTGAATCTAGATCGGGTTCAGGGTTGTGCTGGTTTGAGACAAGAGGGTTTACCTTGCTTGGCAGATTCATCGACCTTCTCCTTCCCTGCATGGGAGAAACAATGTGAAAAAGGGTGTTTTTTGGCATGGTTTAGCAGATGGTTCAACACGCCACGCCAGTTTTATTGGACACAATGCTCACCTTTCTGCTATCCCTTTGGTTTTGGGGCAGCCTGCGCCTTCTTGTTGCCACCTTTCCGCGGGGTGCTTTGGCGGACGCTGCGACGTTTACCGGCAGGTTCTTTCTTGCTGGTACCCACTCGAACCCCTTTGGCGCGGCCACCCTTTCCTCCTCCATCCCCTTTTGCTCCATGGCTCCCTTGCTTTTTACCAACCCCTTCACTTTCGACCTTCACCTTACGTGCCTTCGGTTTGCCCGATGCTTCGCCGCGCGCAGCGTCAACTGCCCCGCGTTTTCGGGAAGGGCGAGTCCGGCCCCCCTCCTTCCCTGTACCACTCACCCGTCTGCCACGCCCGCCCCGTCCCTTCACTGGCGCCACATCCTCCTCCTCCTCCTCCTCCTCCTCCTCCTCCTCCTCCTCCTCCTCCTCCTCCTCCTCCTCCGCTGCCTCCTCCTCCTCCTCCTCCTCCTCCTCCTCCTCCTCCTCCTCCTCCTCCTCCTCCTCCTCCTCTGCCTCCTCCTCCTCCTCCTCCTCCTCCTCCTCCTCCTCCTCCTCCTCCTCCTCCTCCTCCTCATCCTCCTCCTCCTTCTCCTCCTCCTCCTCCTCCTCCTCCTCCTCCTCCTCCTCCTCCTCCTCCTCCTCCTCCTCCTCTTCGTCCTCCCCGCCATCATTCTCATCCCTCCGCATCCTCCTCCGCATCACCGGGGTCTTCATCGCCCCGTTTCGGCTTTGTTCCCGTTGCTCCTTTCTTGCCTCTCCTTCCGTCGGATGGTTTTCTTGCTACGGGTCGGCCCTTCTGGCGCAATGCTTGACCGCCCGCCTTGCCACTAGCTTCCTTGGCGCCTCGCGTTGTCCCAACTGCCGCGCCTCCGGCGTCGTCAGCACTACCTGTCGTCTGCCGCCTCTTCGCCCGCGTAATGAGGTCCCCGGGCACGGCGGTATCATAATCGTCCTCCCCATTGCTCTTCCTCTGCCTACGCCTCCCCCGTCCACCAGAAGTTGGAGAGCCACCGACCAGCCCCACCGACTCGTGCTCCCCCACCTTGTCCTTATCCAGCACGGCTCCAGAAACTTCGACCACGGTCGGCTGGAGCAGCGTCAGATGGTGTTGCGTTGCCGCCGCCTCGGACTCCTTGGTTGCGGCATGCTCGGCGCGGGGATCGCCTCCGTGATTTCCCTCCGTCGCCGATCCCTCCATCTCCGCTGACGGGAGTGCAAGACTCGCGCTCCCTCGCCCCGGATCTTCGTTGCCGCCAGTGGTGCCGTCTTTACTCGGACCGGGCTCGGTTCCAACAGAGGCAACATCCGCATCTTTGTTCACTGTAGAAACACGCTTGCGTGGCGTTGGTTTAGTCCCCTTGTCTTCCGCTTTCTTGCCGGCCTCCTGTTGACCGCACGCGACCTTTTTTGCCGCCGCTTTTTTCTGCCCAATGCCACGAGCGACGGACGCATTAGTTTTTTTAGCGCCGCCACCACACTCCCTATCGATTTGTTTAGACGTCCTCCTTGTCGCGCGGCGGCCGGCCTGTTCCTCCTCCATTGCTTGGTTACGTGTTGCACGTGTCATGGTAATTGTAGGAGGAGCAAAGTTGCAAGTCGCGCGGAAGGGTTGAGCCGATTTCGAAAGGGTTCTGCAACTGAATCCCACGATGGGATTATCGACGGTCTATCACTGTTATGTGTTTTCGAAAACCGCCGCTTCAACTAAATCTGTCATAGTAGCAACTATGCTTTGCGCTAAGGCCGATCTGGAGAGGCGTGTGTCAAGGCAACGAGCAGCGTCAAAGTGTTGGTCCATGGAGTGACGGAAGTAGGTGGGTGGGACACGAGGGTGGTTGGGGTGGGTTGCGAGACTAGAGAGAGTAATGTAACCCTATCAGGCTATATTGGACGGTATACGTGTAGCCACCCTAGCATAAACCCACCTACCGCTCGATCTCAGCCGCTCAATGGCTGAAGTACCTCTTGGCTGATGACTGTGTTGCGGGGGGAATCGTTTGAGATGTGTCGGCCAATCACGGTTGCCAACGCATAAATCACTAAATTTTATTCAAACATACAACAATGCATTTCATCAAACTCTAAGTTGCAAATGGTTTACCACGGGGTTGGGGTAAGTTAATTGGTGATTCTTACGTCACACACACAACGACCGTCCAGAATTATTACTTGTGACAGATGTACTGTGCCCTTTTAGGCTTTGCCACAATAGTTTAGGGCCAGCGGACGACATTCTAACACGATTATCAATAGTAACAAACGTGAATCCGTTGTGGTATGGTGTTGGATTGTCATCCATTCTTGCACAGACATTAAACAAGGTGCTTAGAAGGAGTGGTATGAAGCACAGGCCCAACGCACAAGCGTAGATGCGTTATCGACAGCCATGGTTAGACTGGGCGACGATGCAGCTTTCAGGCCTGCGGGTTGCGCGACATGGTGAATCCGTTGTGGTATGGTGTTGCATTGGCATCCATTCTTGCACAAACATTAAACAAGGTGCTTAGAAGGAGTTGTATGAAGCACAGGCCCAACGCACAAGCGTAGATGCGTTATCGACAGCCATGGTTAGACTGGGCGACGATGCAGCTTTCAGGCCTGCGCGTTGCGCGACATGGTGAATCCGTTGTGGTATAGTGTTGCATTGGCATCCATTCTTGCACAGACATTAAACAAGGTGCTTAGAAGGAGTAGTATCAAGCACAGGCCCAACACACAAGCGTAGATGCGTTATCGACAGCCATGGTTAGACTGTGCGACGATGCAGCGTTCAGGCCTGCGGGTTACGCGACATGGTGAATCCGTTGTGGTATGGTGTTGCATTGTCATCCAACATTGCATGGACATTGAAACCGTTGTGCTATTGTACGACATTGTCATCCATTCTTGCATATTCATTCAGCACGGTGCGTAGAGGTACACTACACCTCGAGAGAAGACGCGCTATAGGTATTCGCTCCACGCAACAATCATACGTTAGGGCATGGAGTTATTGGGTACTTCCCGTATCGTTATCAAGTAAGGGTTGTTCAACATCAGTCCTAAGGAGATGAATGTTTACTAGTTATGAATGACTTGAGTGTCTTGTTAAGTTGTAATTGTACATTTGCATTTCCATGTTTGTTTGAAGCCTCTTGAGCTCACCTACGTGATTCTGATTTCCCCCCTATATCGATTCGCGACACAATCACAGATCGAAACGGATCTCTTCCCGCTCTTCCTCATCCCCCTTGACTCTCACGCACGGTTCCTAAACACAAGTTCTTGATTCAATAGGCACGTCCTTCTTACCGTGCTCGTGACGCACACACACGGCCGTGAGACTTAAGATCCTCCACATTCTCCTGTGCTCACGTCGCGGTCACTCTAAACGGGGGCGACACGCCTTGTAGGGAAGACGGCCCGTGAGGTGGGCGGTCTGTATCGTGCCTGGTAACGACCACGCGGCTCGACATCGTTAGCCAGTCATAAACATTAGCGCCAATGTCAAGTGCCAGTCGTGCAGTGATACAAGCCGCCCACCACAGTGCGCACATTGGCGATGATCGTGTAGATGTCACAGGCTTCTTGAACGGAGTACTTAATGCGTTCACAAGCTTCATCACGGCTAGTAGCTTCATAGGCGATTTCTCGACTCTACAACGGATCCGTAACACATGGGCTCTTTACCAGGCGTCGTCTGCGAGTTCTGCAACAGATGGTTCCCCAACGCCCAAGTTTATGGCGGTCATAAATCACGGCGGACCCCTTGCCAAGGACTATCCGCCGTGGCAAGGCCGACGCGATCTGCACCGACCGCCGATCTTCATGCTCTACTATTCGTCCACGACATTCTGTCGGACGCTCCAGCCGCTCCCGGTTCACCTACAGCGTCTAACGCATCCAACGCCGTCAGTGTGAGCGGTCCTCCACGCGTGCCTGAAGCTCACGTTGACGAAACTCCCAACGACGTGAACGAGGGGCCTCCTGAAGATGAACATCAACCACAACCAGGAGCTCCTGCGGCTGACACAAGTGACCATCCTGAGAGCCGGCCCGAAGGGAGTCATGCCGCGTCGCCAACAATCATCTCCGGACAGAGCAATGCCACGCCCCTCAATCCGCTCGCGTTGAAGCTGCTGCATTTCGTTCGGCGCGTGAATGGCGGAATGGGAATGGCCGAGGTTGACATCAACGGCCTGCTTCAGCTAGTCGTAGAGCCCGGCCTTGCGCCTCTTGTGATCTCGGAGCTCCGGAACTGTAAGGATCTGGAGTGGTTCGAGATGGGGCGTTTGGCAGGGCTCAATCGCGGATGGTTGGTGGTGACCTTCGAGATTGACGGTCATCCACCACAGCGCTTGCTCTTTCAGAACTCAGCCCAGGTAAGCCGACTTTGCATTCAAGGCCGTGAAATGATGATGAGGCACACAGGGTTTGCATGTACGTAGTTATCCTTGTATTAACCGTACACCCACCTTCACCGCCACTAACCATGGCTCTCCTCTCACCTGCCTTCGCCACCGTACACCAGGCATTCGCTGAAATGTTTGGACATCCCAACAACGCGCCCGGCTTCAAGCTCAAGGCGCGTGTTGATGAGGACCCTGACGCAGGCAGCCGTCGCTATACCACGCCTGAAACAGGAACGTGGTGGAACGATGCTTAGGTAAGGAAAGACCACGTTGCCACCCCAAACCCAATCCTTCCTCATGCCTCCATCGCTGCACTGATCTGTCAAGAGCATCTTGAGCCCTAAACCGTGTGTCCGTTGCCGCTTTGTCGTGCACTGCAGGAACAATTCGGTTGGTCCGAAGTTGTGGGGGGGGTCATCTTATATTCGGATGTGACGCACATGAGCATCAACGGCCGGAAGAAGGCGTGGCCGCTCATGATGACGCTGGCCAACATCTCCAAGGCCAAGCGATGGGGGAAAGCCGGGCACACACTACTTGCCCTCCTTCCTATCCCCCTGTCTGCAATGTCTACCGTGGAGGAGGTGATGCTCTTCCAGCGTTGCGTCATCACCGTGCTGCAGCCGCTTCTTGATGGCATCGCCAGGTCCGTACTCGGTTTGCATCTTGCTAAGACATCATCTCACCACCTGCATGGTATGCAAACCCTCTCTGTATGTAGCATGGCCCTTTGCCCCTCGTCGTTCCTCCCTAAAAGTCGTAACCCGAATTCCTGTTGCCCCTCTACCTGTTCCTTGCAGCGGGTCCCGTCTCAGGGACCCTTTCGGTGATTGGCAAACCGTGCGGCCCCTGCTGTACGCCTGGGTGTGCGACTACCCCGAGAGCGGCAAGATCAGTTGCACACTCTTGCATGGATCGCGGATGCCGTGCAGCATCTGCTATGTTGCAAAGGTGAGGTCACATGCCATCTGCACGCATTCAAATGCATTCTCGTTTGTGGGTCGCCTGATAGAACCCACATAGCTACCACCCTTACCTTTTCTATCCCATCCCTCACCCCCAAGCTACAACAGGAGCATCTGAGTGCTGTCAAGGCACGGAACACGCCGCGCACGCCTGAACAGCAGCAATGGATCGTTAACGAGGCGGCTGGGACGACAACTAGCCAGGCTGACCCGTGCAAGGCCTACTCTACCTACCCTGTTGAGGTAAGTGACCTGTGTCCCCGGCCCATGAGTAGTCTATGCTCTCGCCCGCCCCGTCATGAATTGCCAGATGTGCTCTGCCCCATTGAACTCACCCCACTTGTGGTTTAGGTTAGCT